GTTCTACACGAGAATAGCAGAAAAAAGAAAAATAACTGGTTCGTTGCATAGGAAATTTCAAAAAACCCAATTTCATATTCTCCGTTTGAATTCCCGCCGTAAAACTCTCCCAATTTCTCGTTGCCCATATGTGTCGCGTGGTGTGTCGTCAGAAGAAAACTTGGCGTCTCGCTCGATCGATCGTCACTCACCCACCACCCCTCTTTATTTTTTTGTATTTTTCTACTTTCATATAGTTTACAAGAATGTAGGACCTGCTTGTTGCGCAAATTAAAATTTTCGTAAGGGGGACTGCGGAAACGCAGTGACAAAGCAGGAGTTCTCATTCCTAGAACATTTATGTTGTTATGCTGTATCTTTCTGTTTTGTTTTGTCTTTGTCATTGATGAAGTTATTTCAGGGAGAGATTCGCAATTTCACATGAAGATATCATTTTATGCTCAACGTCTTTCCTATTCGACCCTTCCATAGTCGAGCTGTTTCTTTCCTTCGTCAGGTATGCCACTGTTTCAAATAATTTATCGCTATATGGCCATGCTGGTGTTTGCAGTGGGATACCATTACTCGCCATTATTTTCAGCGGTGCCCGTTTGCTGCTTGTCTCAGATAATGCTCGTTCGCAACCACATTTGTTGTCGGCTGTCTTGAAAAAATATAGGCCGTCAGTCGTACAGGTTGGACTTCCTTATTGTTCTGGTGGTTCCTTGCCGGGCTCATCCTTTCATCAATTTTAAGTAACTCCATCGGTCCTATCGCTTTTGGACGACGAGACTATTGCATGGATGCTCGGCGATTTATCTCCGATTCGATGCCTTCTCACAGGTTTGTGAACTTTCATGCAAAGTAAGAAGGCTTTCAGTGAGGCTGTATTTGGATAAAATTGTCGCAGTCACTGTGCAGAAATGATTGCAGTAATTTTGTGCTCATAGTTGCCTGTCCACCCATAAAAAACAACCAATATATTGTAGGGGTCATGCAGTGTTAAAATGTGCTTTAGGCTGCGTTCATACTTTGCATAAGCGCTCCTAAGCGTCCCGGCATTAACTTCGCGGTCAGCTTACTTGCCCGCGGAAATCTTCGAAAGTAGACACGAAACTTCTTCGAAAGCTTTCAAAACACTGTTACTCTTCAGTAGGCGCTTCAAAAAAACGCTTTCATGCCTTCAGAAGGCGACGCAAAGATTTGAACGCACTCGAGGCTAACATGGACACAGCTAGAGCGAGGTGTAAGTTGGTGGGACCCTGGAGGACCAGGAGCGAAAATCGGCTAGGGCACCGGTCTGCACAGCACAAATCGACCAAACAAAGTGATGGGTAAGCAGTCTGTCTCAGACGGTTGCGTTGAAGTGAAATTTACAGGTGGGAAAGATTGGATGCGTGTGGTAGGTAGCGGTGTGATTGCAACTGTTTGAGAACAGAGGTATGTTGGAGACGGAATGCGTGTGGAAAAGGGCGAGCTTGATGCATTGTACGGATTGGCAGGGCGAACCCCTGTAAAAGTAGTCGCTGCTGCGTAAAAAAAATGAGGCGCCGACCGTAAGTTGCCGGAGGCAAAGAAGAGTCGAAAACTTCGCGAACGGGCGTTGAGAATACCACCAGGTTCGAGCGCCCGGCGGACGCGAGCTTCGCCGCGCGGGACCAGCGCCCCGGGCGGCGGCCGGGGCGAGCGCCACGCCAGAAGGGGGAAACAACGCGGCAATGAGGGGGTGGGTGGACCACGCTACGAGGGCCAGCAGACAGAAAGAGCAACCCGGTGTGAACCAGGGGGAGCGATGCAAAGACATGTGCGGTCTTCTCGTTCTGCTGTTTCCAAAACTAACAATTCAGGATGAACTCCGTGAGACTCACAACGACTACCGAGCGGAATTGGCTCAATTGGCGCGGCAGATTAGTGAGACCAAGCATAAGGATGTCACTGATAACGAGACTTATGTGCTGAAGGTATTTCTGTTCCTTTTTCACCCAGCCTATCTCCTCTGGCGGCACTGCTATAGTACGTTCTTTTAACAGATCGATGAGTTGAATACAAAGTTGGCTCAAACGGAAAGCACATCTCGTAGCCTGAAGCGACAACTGGACGAATTGAAGCTGGACAATGAAAAGATGCAGGAAGCAGGTACGATTACATGACATTCATTGCTCTTTCCCCAATCCACGACGAGGATATTACCCGAGATCGGTGTGCCCCACTAGGATCTGTTCTCGTTCTGATCAGCTGAACCGTAGTCTTTCGAACCTAAAGACACATTTCACGATAATATGTTGGGTACAATCCCCTCCTACTGCAAGGTGACCCTATCCGCAAGCTGCAACTCGAATGTGATAGGCGACAGCGCGTAGGTTATTATTCGCTGTACTATTCATCTACCAGTCGGCGATAAACGGCATCTATCTGTGCACGGCTGTGTTCATACTTTGCGACTCAGCGTTGCAAGCAAATCGGTATTAGAGCGAAAAGGATGGTATTAGTATCGGTCAGCGCCTAGAACGCCAATTCGCTCAAGACGGTGATTCTCCCAAAACGCTAGCGATCGATACCTATACTTTTCTTCTCGCTCAAAACGTCAGTTTCCGTGAAAAGCCGATTTGTTCAAAAACGCTGGATCTCCCAAAACGCCGAGTCGCAAAGTATGAACGCAGCCTGAGATCACTGTTCTCCGTTAGGGACGGTTTATTACCTCGTCTTTCTGTCCTTCCATACTCGCCCTCTCCCGCGGGGCTCTTTTTCTTTTCCTATAATTTCCTCAGTGATAAAAATCGTTTTCTAGTAGGGGGGAGGGGGTCTCACGTGCAGCGATTACATGAATTGGTTCTCTTTTTCTTCATTGACACTTCTTTTCTCCCTGTCAGGACACATCATTGGTTGAGGATTTTGGTCGAGTCCGTACGACTCCCACCTTTTTGGGGGTTGGTACGACCC